AAGAATGCTACACATGGTTCTAGCCATACCAATAGTATCAACACTCGTTGTACCACGAATATTACTATGACTACCACTAGCAATAACAGTCATAGGACTGCTGCCAAAATCCGTATTACTACGACTATGCGAATTATCTTATTCAAGATATTGATCAACATATTAAAACGAATCATACTACTAACATTCTAATCCTACCGCTATTCTCACGACTATTAACAATACTATGCATAAAAGGAAGAACAGTAGACATACTCCAATGATCAGTAATACCAATACTGCGAATACTACGAATGCAAATAGTAAGGTGGAGGAGGAGGAGGAGGAGGAGGAGCTGCCCCCCTGGAGCTGTTGACCTTGTCCATGGGATCGAGCGGACGGCCACGGGGGGGCAGCAAACAGGGGGGGGGGATCGAGGATTACAGGACAGTGGGCTTCAAGGATCCCGAAAGAGGCTCCATAGACGGCCCTTGCATTGCCCCCAAGGGCCCAACAGGTGCGCGAATGGTGCCCATTTCTACACCCTACGTTTACTGCCCCCCAGCAACGGACACCCGATGTCACTGGCTTTCTGTCGCGGGTCGTGTTGTGATACTCCCTTGGCAAGGATGTTGTTCCTGGTCGTCGCGATTTCCGCGCGACGTCCAGAGGTCTAGGATGGGACCCTTCTCTGACCAAGAGATGATTGGCCTGCCTCCCCCCCACGCGGAAGTTTGCGGACGGTCCGCGGAAACTGGCGCGGGCGAGACGGAGACGGGCCCCGCTGGCGGAAGCCGTTGGAGGCAGGAGACAGGCCACCCTCCAAGAGAAGGGTCGGCGCTCTGGTAAGATTGAGATGGGTGCGGAAAGAAGAGGGACGAAGGCCTGCAGCAGTTCCTGCCCATTTTTTGAACATGACAGTCGCTGTCGGCGTCGCCGCGGGCGTTGCCCATTTGAGGTAGTAACAGGTCGCTTGCCAAATAGCGGCCAACGATCGCTGCCGGGCATCGCGCCCACTCTGTCCCCACTCATGCCAGGCGCGCCAAGCGCGGGTCCCCCCCCGCTGGTCGCCATGGTCGCGCTCCTCGCCTGGCGGTCCTGGGGCCGGAGACGACTGTCTTCTCGGGGCATCGGCGCTGGGACGCCGAAGATATCGCAGAGAACTTCAGGGGGTGCTTCCCAGACCCTGAGATCCGACGTTTCGAGTAGGGGATCGACTGCACAATCGACTTAACCAAAATTCATTTCATCGTGGAATCTACATTGTTTTATGTATTATATATAAGGAAAGGTAATAACGAATTCTCAATAATGGGATCGACGAGAGAAACAAATCTGGGGTGAATCAAGTTTGTAGTCAATCCACTATTCGAACTCTTGCGAACACGGACAACACAATAACAAGTCACGGCCGGAGTCCTAGGCCTGGCCTGTCTGCGGCATGCTGCGAGCTGGATCGATCTGTGATGCTTCTGGGGCCCGAGGCAGGTAAACCGCCCAGTTTGAACAAAATTGCAACGGCCGGGCCTCAGGGAGGTGCGGGGCGAGGGGAAAGCTCGGATAAGGGGGAAGGAGGAGGAGGAGGAGGCGGAGGAGGAGGAGGATGAGGATTTCTTCCACCAAAAACGCCAGCCGCTCAGGCCCAAGACGGACAAAGAGGTGCCACCCCATGGACCGCACTCACGGACCATCTTGGAAGCATATTCGCCCACAACAACATTGACCACAGGTCCTTGGACTACATCCTGACCGTCCGCACGGAATCACCATGTCCAGTGACAGCAGTATTTGTCTGAAGTTCGACAGCGCAGCCTACGCCATGCGGAGCTACGACAGCAACAACAAATTTCTACAGTCATCGCAGCGTGCCGAAGCCGAAATTCCCCGTACCAGAACGCAAGGCGCCACCTGCACCGCCTTCTCGCCCAGCACCTCATCGAAAGGCCCTGCCTGCGGCGAAGCCAGCGTTCCCAACGGGACTTGACGATGGACGCCCTTGCTGGGGATGATGGTTACTCCAAACGGCGTTGGTTACCAGTAGTGGACAATACTACTACAAGGATGGCAGTGGCTACGACCTCACGACATCCACGACGGTTACCATCATAACCTGAGTTACCGCAGTACGAGGATTACTGAAGGCTAGCATGCGTCCTCTCACTTCCCGTCTGTTGGTGCCTAGGCTCCTCTGGCTTCGTCTTCGTTTGTCTTTCACTGTTTTCGCCTCTCCCGATCCTAGTGCACCCGTGTGCCTCCTTTCCCCTCTCAGGGGTCGTGCCTGACTGACTACTGGGAGAGGCATAGGCCCCGTTCTTCCGCTTGCGGAAGCATAGGACCTCTGCTCTCGCCTATCTCGGTGTGCTACTCCCCTTGCTCCCTCCTTCTTCTTCCCGGTCGTTGCTGCTTGCTGTCGGGCCAGAAGAGGTACATCCCTTTGCAGCCCTCGCGCACAGTCCTATTCTTCATCTGCTAAACTGCTGTATCACTGCGTGCTCTCTCATTACATTCTGCCCTGTACTTTTGCAGCTAGTCCCCCATTCAGAGTTTCGTATAGGTTAGTTGGCATGGGGCGGATTGGGAGCGACGTGGTTATGTCGGAGTCGCAAATATTCCTGGAGACGGCGTCACAACTTTTCATCCTCACAGCCGCCAGAACAGAAGGCCAGCCTACACAGGCCAGCCTCACAGTGTAACCATTAGCAGTTGCTGCCGCGGCCACACACTGCCACGCATCTTACCTGTCCTACATCCTACATCCCCTTCCCCTCGGGCATCTTCTAGCCTCACAGTGCATCGCAGCTGCCAGTCCTCTCTTACACTCGTGTCCACTCTCAGGTGTTCTCAGCACAGCCCCAGCCTCTAGCGTGCCACTGCCATCGGCCAGGCAGCGCCGGCCTAGCAGCGTACTTATTGCGGGGTGTTGGCTGGTAGTATGGGAGGACGGGATTGGTGGCGAGATGATTTGCACGCGATGCTGCTCACAGTCTGTCCTCTTTTTTTTTTTTTTTTTTTTTTTGTTTTTTTGTAATTCGAGACAGTACTTGGTCAGCTATTCGGCCAGTCAGCTTAGGTGTGCCTATTGCTTACCTCTACCCTTCGATCGCTGACCTACTACAGGTTCAAGCACTTAGCATCCTCTCTGCTCCTCAATATTCTTTCGCTGTCAAAGCCAAATCGACATCTCTCTCTCTCTCTCTCTGCGCGGCCTACGCGACTTCAATGCGCTTTGGCATGCTTATTCCTTCTTTTCAAAACCCTCATGATACTGGGAGTTGTGCAGCCCAAATGCTAGAGGCCAGCCATCCCTCTTTTGCCAGTATGCGGCCTGGCAGGTTTTTCCTTCATGGGGGGCACAAATCCACAATGGTGGTCACAGAGACGGGGGACCCCCCCTAGGAACTGAAACGGTGAAGAGGCCTTCCCCCGAGGAGTAAAAATGCACGGGTGGAGGAGGATTAGGAAGGAGGAGGAGCAGGAGGAGGAGGAGGAGGATGAGGAGGAGGAGGAGGAGGGGGAGGAAGTAGGAGGAGGAGGAGAAGGAGGAGGAGGAGAAGGAGGAGGAGGAGGAGGAGGAGGAGGAGGAGGAGGAGGAAGTAGGAGGAGGAAGCAGGAGGAGGAGGAGGTGGAGGAGGACGAGGAAGGAGGAGGAGGAGGATCCCAGTTGGGAGGTCTCAAATGCCTTCTTCTTCCTCTTTACTGGGCCAGCCAGCACTGCCTTGTGCCGGCCCCAACTCAAGTCGTTCGCCCATCCTGCTCACTTCGCGTTGCCTCCACGGTACAGTGACATGTACTGTGGACGGGGTGGTGGAGGTGCGGCAGGGGAATGGGAGGTAGATGGGTGGCGGAGGGCGTCTCTCACCACCCACCAAACCACCCCAACCCAGCCCGAAGGCCTCAACTTGCCCTCCATTTCCAGTGGGGGGGGGTCGGGGAACATTCAAAAGATACATGTGGAACCCGTACCCCCCCAACCCGAAATTCGGGTCTTCGGGTTGGGTTGGGGTGAGCTGGTAGGCAGTCAGTCTCTCGCATCGTGGCCATTTTGGCCTTCGGCGGGGGGCTTCTGCCCCAATGTGGGCCGCCGAATGCGAGCGACTGAATCCTATGCCCCGCCAGCTTTACCCCATCACCCACAGCACGCAGTTCCGGTTCTCTGCTTTACGACTCGCTTCTGCGATTTGTCTAGACTCTGCCAGCCACAAGGCCAGCCAGTGCCGCCCGCGCCCGCCTCAACTCTTGCGCGTCGTCTGTTCTATCTTCTCTGTTCTCAGTGCTTGCCTTGACTGACTGGTGGAGGTTCGGGGGCTGGTATCATGGAGCGAGGGGGCTATCGTACAGACTTCCTTGAGTACTGTGCGAGAGGATGATCCGACACAACGTTCAGGTCTACAGCTGCCCAGCACACATGAGGCGGTGACCCATGGAAGCTGCGCCACAACAGGCGGGTCAATTGCTCTCAGCGCAGTACCGTGCACGTATATTCAAGTTTTTCTTGTTCGGTCTTTCTTCCTCGGTTCATATGCTAGTAAGGTTGCGATTTGTCGATTGCTCTCCCATCCTCCACATCGGCGGCAGGCGTCGTTACTCTAGCCCTTGGGTACGGTGCTTTTGCTTTTACTCCTGATCCGCACGGGCCTGCCGCCCAATTTGCTAACACCGCTGCGTTAAGCGGGTATTTTTCCCAACCAACCTGTGTTGTTGGGTCCTCGTTTTGAAGAGACGGTCCCCGCGTTCCTTCTCCTCCTCCTCTGCCCCCTCCTCCTCTCCACCGTCCGCATGCGTCCCCCCACCCAGTACCGCGTTTCGTAACCCCATAGGGAGCTCCACCGAAGGCCCCAGTGCCACCGTCCACATGCGTCCCCCCCACTCAGTGCAGCGCTTCGTGGCCCCATAGGGAGCTCCACCGAAGGCCCCAGTGCCACCGTCCACATGCGTCCCCCCCACTCAGTACAGCGTTTCGTGGCCCCATAGGGAGCTCCACCGAAGGCCCCAGTGCCACCGTCCACATGCGTCCCCCCCACTCAGTACAGCGTTTCGTGGCCCCATAGGGAGCTCCACCGAAGGCCCCAGTGCCACCGTCCACATGCGTCCCCCCCACTCAGTACAGCGTTTCGTGGCCCCATAGGGAGCTCCACCGAAGGCCCCAGTGCCACCGTCCACATGCGTCCCCCCACTCAGTACAGCGTTTCGTGGCCCCATAGGGAGCTCCACCGAAGGCCCCAGTGCCACCGTCCACTCAGTACAGCGCTTCGTGGCCCCATAGGGAGCTCCACCGAAGGCCCCAGTGCCACCGTCCACATGCGTCCCCCCACTCAGTACAGCGTTTCGTGGCCCCATAGGGAGCTCCACCGAAGGCCCCAGTGCCACCGTCCACATGCGTCCCCCCCACTCAGTACAGCGTTTCGTGGCCCCATAGGGAGCTCCACCGAAGGCCCCAGTGTCACGTCCACATGCGTCCCACCACTCAGTACAGCGCTTCGTGGCCCCATAGGGAGCCCCACCGAAGGCCCCAGTGCCACCGTCCACATACGTCCCCCCCACTCAGTACAGCGTTTCGTGGCCCCATAGGGAGCTCCACCGAAGGCCCCAGTGTCACCGTCCACATGCGTCCCACCACTCAGTACAGCACTTCGTGGCCCCATAGGGAGCTCCACCGAAGGCCCCAGTGCCACCGTCCACATACGTCCCCCCCACCCACGTGGCCCCATAGGGAGCTCCACCGAAGGCCCCAGTGCCACCGTCCACATGCGTCCCCCCCACTCCAGCGCCCCATAGGGAGCTCCACCGAAGGCCCCAGTCCACATGCGTCCACCGCTCAGTACCCCCCCCGCTCAGTGCAGCGCTTCGTGGCCCCATAGGGAGCTCCACCGAAGGCCCCAGTGCCACCGTCCACATGCGTCCCCCCCACTCAGTACAGCGTTTCGTGGCCCCATAGGGAGCTCCACCGAAGGCCCCAGTGCCACCGTCCACATGCGTCCCGCACACCCAATGTGGCATCTTCACCCACCCAGTGCAGTGTTTCGTGGCCCCTGGCCCCACAGGGAGCTCCACCGAAGGCCCCAGTGGGACCGTCCGCAAGCGTCCCGAAACACCCATTGTGGCATTTTCACCCATCCAGTCCAGAATTTCGTGGCCCCGCAGGGAACTCCACCGAAGGCCCCAGTGCCACCGTCCGCATGCGTCCCGAAAACCCAACGTGGCATTTTTACCCACCCAATACAAGGTTTCGTGGCCCCTTAGTGAGCTCCACCGAAGCCCCCAGTGGGACCGTCCGCATGCGTCCGGGAAGCCCAATTTGGCATTTTCCACCCAGTACAGCGTTTCGTGGCCCCATAGGGAGTTCCACCGAAGTCTCCAGTGGGACCGTCCGCATGCGTCCCGGAAGCCCAATTTGGCATTTTCATTTGCCCAGTACAGCGTTTCGTGGCCCCATGGGGAGCTCCACCGAAGCCACCAGTGGGACCGTCCGCATGCGTCCCGGAAACCTTACTTGACACACCACTCACCCAGAACACCGTTCCCTCCCATCCAGTGCAGCGCTTCGTGGCCCCATAGGGAGTTTCACCGAAGAAGATTTTCACAATTGCGGTACCCACAACTGCAGATGGTTGGGTTCTTCGCCAGGATAATTTCCATGGCGTCATTTGCCACCAGAACGCTGCAAACCTCGCTTCTAGTACGGCCAACGTCACGAGGAGGAGGAGGAGGAGGAGGAGGAGGAGGAGGAGGAGGAGGAGGAGGAGGAGGAGGAGGAGGAGGAGGAGAAGAGGAAGAGGAGGAGGAGGAGGAGGAGGAGGAGGAGAAGGAAGGAGGAGGAGGAGGAGGAGGAGGAGGAGGAGGAGGAGGAGGAGGAGGAGGAGTTGGAGGAGGAAGGCGAAGTTGGATGTCACAGGTGCCGTGGCAGAGGGCCACAGTTCCCGCGGAGGCCGGCGAGCTGGGCTGAGTGCTCGAATGCGCACATCGTCGGACGCTCTGTTCAGTATTGTTTGACCGATCCCCATCCCCATCTATCCCTATCCCCATCCAGACCCCCACAATCTCATCTCCCAGTTGGGGATACACCCTTCGAAATCTGACAGAAACTGCCTATATCCCCATCTAGGGGGTAAACCGGCCAGTGGGGCCCAGGCCGCGCGAGTGGGGATAGGGATCGGTTAAACGATGCTCATCTTTTCCACGCGCACCCAGCTTCTCGCAGACTCGAGCACAGTCGATGTCGTCTGCGACTGCAGCATGCTCGCGGCAGCCTGGCAGACAAGAGTGTGCGCGCGGGAGCACGCGTGCGCGTGTCTGCAAGTGCTTGCGCTCGAGACTGGGCCGTTTCGTGGCCTTCACACACGTGCACCTTTTTACTCGTGGCCGTTGAGTTCATTGCGGAGGGGGATCACGATCAATAGGAAATCCTAGCGCACCCGGTCGGATCGGACTTTCGCGATCAGCGTGCTGCCACCACTAGAAGCCACGTGGCCTGAGGCGTTCATTGCTGCCCCAGCCTCTGGGCTGGTACTGTCTGTGGTCGAGGTGACGCGGGAGCTCTCCGTTCGCCTTCCGCCCGCGTCTCCGTCATCTGCGATGGTCTTCCCCTTACCCAGACTCCTCGTCGTCTCTTCTTCGTTCGTCTTGCTGCCTTTCTGTTCCTCCTTGAACTGCGTCCTTCGCTCGGGAGTCTGCTGTGTCCAGGCTTCTGTCGGCGGCGAGCGAGGGGGGCAAGTGAGAAGGAGAAGGCTTTCTCAGAAGGCGGCGGGACTTCTGAGAAGCCCTTGCGCCTTCTGAGAAGTTTTCTGTGTCTTCGGGGAAGGTTCAGACAACTTTTTCGAAGGCCGGTGGATTTCCGAGCCTTCTGAGAAGGACCGCCCGTTCTCACTTCCCCCTGAGCTCGCCGCAGACACCGGGCAGGAGGAGGCACTAACCAGCCGGCCGCCTCTGACGAAGCTCGTGGGTCAGCATTCTTATCTTCAAGGCGGCCCTCAGCCACTCATTACCCTCATTCTCCCTCTCTCTCTCTCTCTTGACGTCGTGCTGGTTTTAGGGATTTACATCGTATGCAATGTTGCTGCACACGCGATGGGTCCGATCTGCCTGTCGATGTGTGTTTATTTCCACTCCGAACATTGTCTGCCTTTGCAAGGTGGTGCTCCCACCTGTGCGTTCGCCATCTTTCATGATAGCCAGAGAGAGCACCCGCCCAACGAAATGACGCTGTCGCCGCGGCGGTGGCAGTGGTGGTTGCTGCATGCAACCAAAATGCTTGCTTCCTTTGAAAGTGTTTCTCTCGCTCGTGCGTTTGCCGTACTTTATTGCTTACGCTTCGCGAACCCCCTCCAGCCCATTCAGAAGCCCTGCCCATGAGAGCTGCCAGGAAATGGAGAGAAGAGACAGATATAGTGAAACAGAGCGTGCAAGGTGAGGAGAGGAAGGAGGGTTTTGAGCCATCTTGGAGGCTATCTTGGAGCATCGGAGGCCTTCTTGGAGCTACGGGGTTGTATTGGGGATATTGGGGTCCTCTTGGAGATTTTTTGGGGCATCTTGGGGCCCTCTTGGGGATCTTAGGGTCTCTTGGGGTCCTCTTGGGGCTCTTTTAGGGCGCCCCGGGGCTCTCATGGGGCCCTCTTGGGCCTCTCCTTGGGCTCTCGAGGGGCCCTTTTGGGAGCTATGGAGCGCCTCCTGGGACCATCTTGGAGACCATCGATCCAAGGAGGGGGAATCCTCGATTGGCCTCCTCCCTCCGGGGCCATCGAAATAGCGTCTTGGGGCGGTCTTGGGGCCCCCTTAGGGCGATCTTGAGCGCTCTTGGGGCAATCTTGAGAGCCTCTTGGGCCGTCCTTGGAGTTCCCTTGGGCCATCTTAGGGCCATCTTAAGGCCTCACAAGCGTATCGGTAGCGAAAGGCGAGAAGTCAATAATCATTGATTTTCCTTAGGTCTTTGCAGAATGTTGGCTTCTCGGGGAGGTCCTGAGGGGTTGTGAGAAGCATCTGGAACCGTCTTGTGGCCCTCTTGGGTCCTCTTGGAGGATTGTTCTTAGCTATCTTGAGCCATGTTGGGCTATCTTGAGCGATCTTGGAGGCTATCTTGGGCTCTCTGAGGCCCTCTTGGATCCATCTTGGGCTATCTTGGACGCCCTGGCCGCTCGCGACCCCCTCCCGTCCAGGTCCGGGGAGGGGGGTCAAGCATCCCACCTGCCCGCAAGCCGTCTTGCTCACTCCCACTCGCCCTCCCGAGACATGCGCAACAACTGGGAGTCAGCATGTCGCGAAGGACGCCGCAGACGTCACGGGTTCCAGATGCACCAGACCCTGGAGGCCCAAGTGTGCCAGGCGCGCCAGGTGCGGCACGTGCTCCACGTGCGCCCAGTGTTCCACGTGCTCCAGCCGCGCCAGGTGCGCCAGCCACTGGGAACCAATAGGGGCTCTTGGGCCCGGCTTTGAGCTTTCTTGGCCAATTTTGGAGCCATTTGGAGGCTTCGAAAATCCCATCGTAAACGGTAAGGCGAAAAGGCAGCAGCCACTCATGTGTCAAACCAGGCGGTCGACTACCTGCGCCCAGAAGGCAGGTGGGACCTGTTGGCACCCCAGCCGTCCCAAGTACCATACAAATTGGTCGCGGGGCGGCCGCGCATGCCCCAAATGTCGAGGCAGGGTGTGTTTTGTGTTGTTTTTTGACAGGGATGGTGTGGGGGGGTGGCCCTCATGGGGTCGTCATGGTTGCGGGTTGGCCGCCGGCCAGGTTGGGCAGGGGGTGTATATGAATAGGGAAATGTGATAAACCCTTCCCCGAAGGTGAAGAAGGGGTTGTGGAAGAGGAAAGAGAGACATCGTGAGACCACCTGTCGCTCAGAGGGCTGGCGGGGTTTTCGCCATGGGGCCTTCGCCCAAGAGAACTGCGCTGTCGACGCAGCTGTGGCGTTCGTGTTCCTGACTCCCTCGGCGAAGGTCTTCTTTCATTCGGATGCCCCCTTTCGGTCCCCATGCCTTTCCCGACACCCGACTCTGCGAACAGAGAGGGGGAGACAGCCTGATATCACCGAGCGCGTTCCACTGCTCGCAGAGTGCCTCCTCGCAAGTGTCCGAAACGTACGCGTAGCGTCTGCTCCGATGCAGCTTCTCGTAGAGCCCTCCGGCGGATCCAGGCCACCTGCGAGCAGTCACCGTGCGAGTCGTGGAACGCGCTCGTCTGTCATGGGGAGCGGGGAAGGGCATTGGGGCAGACGCTGGACGTGGCGCGAGCGCGCCTGCGGTCGGGAACCTGGGCTCAGCGGGTCCCTCCGCGCCAGCTCCGGCCCGCCGAGCCTCGGCGCGACGGAGCACAACCGCACATGACCGACGAGAACCTCGGGAGGGCCCCAAGGCGGGCCAGGCTCCCCGTCCCCAGAACGACCCCAGAGGGCCCCAAGACACCCCGAGGAGCCCCCAGAGGACCCCCGCCCGGACGGCCCAGCGATGGACGCAGCTGCTTTGACGCCAGCGTTCTCAAGAGCACCAGGCGACCGCAACGCTCAAAGGAAGCACCAGGCGACCGTAACGCCCAGCCTCTCCCCAGTCTCCCGCCCCGCGGAGCGGAGCACGCGCGCCCCGCTCGCAGGGCGCAGCGTGCCACTGGGGCCGCGCGCCGCGACGCGCGGAGCATACATATATATATATATATATATATATATAGAGAGAGAGAGAGAGAGAGAGAGAGAGAGAGAGAGAGGTTTTGGCCCGCAAGCGCCAGGAGGGGCGCGGGCGCGCCCAGCGTGCCCCTCCCCCCACTCCCCTCCTCGGGAGGGGCCCCGAGGGGGGCTCGGGCTCTTCGTGCTTCTCTTTCTCCCTCGAGAGCTGGCTGAGGGGTGGCGGAAGTGGCGGATCCTGGTGAGGTCCGGAGCGCCACCCTCTCAGACAGCCTTGAGGGAACGGAGCACGCAACAGCGAAGCGCAGCGTTGAACAAACAACTCCCCTCCTCGGGGGCAATGTTTTGGGGGACTGGCTCAGGGCGTGGGGACGCACCGTCCCCAAGCGCCCACTGATCGCCGATATGGGCCCGATAGCCCAGCCCAGCCCCGGAGCGTGCAGGTTCGCCCACGGGGGCCTAGCGACGATCTGCCGGCGACGTATCGTCGATTCCATGTCGATGTTCCCCCTCTAATCCACTTCCCCCATCGTCGCCAACCGCCGAGGAGGAGGAGGAGGAGGAGGAGGAGGAGGAGGAGGAGGAGGAGGAGGAGGAGGAGGAGGAGGAGGAGGAGGGGAGGAGGAGGAGCAGGAGGAGGAGGAGCAGGAGGAGCAGGAGGCGGAGGAGGCGGAGGGGGAGGAGGAGGAGGAGGAGCAGGAGGAGGAGGAGGCGGAGGAGGAGGAGGAGGAGGAGCAGGAGGAGGAGGAGGAGGCGAACGGGGGAGGAGGCGGAGGAGGAGAAGGCGGAGGCGGAGGAGGAGGAGCAGGAGGAGGAGGAGGCCTCGCTTCCGCCCTCCCACACCCTGCAGCGCGCCGCCCCGGTCGCGTGCAAGCCGCCGCCGCGGCCTCTCGATCGCGCTCGCGCTGCGTCTGCCCGGCGGTGGCGGGCCCAGTACTTCGATCGGGCTCCTCGCCGGGAACAGGACCCCCGTGGCCCCCGCGACCTCCCAGCCACCAGGGACCACGGGCAAGGCCAGGCTTACCCACCCAACCACGTCGGTGCGCCGGAGAGCGGGGTGCAGGCCGCCAAGAGTGCCATCCAAAAGCTGTCCGACATTGAGGTCCGCGAGCTACTCTTCTCGGGGGACGCCGTTGCATCTAAGCTTCTGGAGACAGCTTACGCCCTCCCCCCCGACTACAAGCCCGACATCCCGTTCGGCACGGAGGACTTCATCAATGAGCGCAAGAAATGCAACGCCGAGATGATGCGCAGGTGCATCTCCTTGTGCACCGCCAAGACCCGGAGGGAGATCTCCCAGAACGCCGAAGAGTATTGCCCCTACATCATGCGGGCGCAAGCCAGGCGCAACCTGCAAAAGATTGTGCCGTTCGTGCCCCTCGACTCGGACACCTTCTCCTTCTCGGTTTTCCTAGCTTGGATCTCGACCCAGAGCCCGTACAAACGAGCCGAGCAGTCCACGTCAGGCGAGTGCCTGTCCAACATGACCCACACGGTCGCCGCCCTTCTTGCAGACCAGGGCCAGGCGCATGTCGAGGCTACGGAGGCGATCCCTGAGGCGCAGCCTGCGTCGGCTCACACGCCCCGGGCACTCTCAGGAAGGGGTCGGGCATCCAAGAAGACGGTCACCCAGTACACGCTCGACGGCATCAAAAAGTTCAAGCCTGACCGCATGCACCAGGCCAGGAACACGAAGACTATCGACTGGGCCATGGACGAGGCCGTGCCGACGGAGGACTCCCCAGCGTCGGATCGGCAACGCTTTGCAGTCTACCGCAAGGCGCTCGATGCCCTCGTGGCGCCCAAGGGCCGGTCGAAGAAGCCAGACCCGAAGGTCCTCGCGGTCTTCAAGGACAAGGCGTCCGAGCCCGGCGTTCGCTTCGACGAGAAGCGATTTGGGGACTTGTCGCAGCT